GCAGTGAGGGTGGCCAGGTGGGGCCACAAGTTAAAGCTTCCCTGTAACTGCCTCTCTCCTCCTGGCCTCCAGTCCACTGGTCCGCGTCTGGCCTCTTCCTGGCTTGGTTTGTGGAGACATTCACCCAGAATAATTTATTAATCCAAACATAAATTTGTTTCACTGAGTTTATATCCATTTTAGAACTAAACTAGCCCCAGTTTGCTAATGACAGTGAAGGTGGACGCACATGTGAGTTTGAGATCAAATGAGTGACCAGATATTTGGGACAAAAGTTGATGCCCAGTTTTTGATTGGGTTACTTAAGGAAGGAGAATAACTGTTAATATCTTGATTTACAACCACGTTGTCTGACCTATTTTTGTGCAGTCAATACATCCTTATAAATCTGTGTGAAGTGAAGTTTTATATATAAAATCATTTTCCGTTCCCCTTCCAGTATTCCTTCCAGAGGGGCATGCAGGCTCACGGAAAATATTTTGGCATCAAGTTAGCACTGAAGAGACACTTAATCTTAACATTCATTTCCGGAAGAGCTGCTTTGTAGTGCCCTGTTTATTTGATTCTCCCCGTTATGTGACCCTGCAGAAAGGCCCTCACAGATGGGTGATTATTGGTCTACATGGGTTCACACGGCCGGCCACACGCATAGGAAAGGGAGTCCTCCGTGATGGACTAGCTCACGGAATGTGAGCCGTATGGAATGTTTGCAAGAACGGAATGTTCAGTAATATCTTAGTGTAGTAATTAAAAAAAAAAAAACTTGGTGGAGAAGTGTTTTCTTTAGAATCAATCCTTTAAAACCCCTTTTTGGAAGACTCAATGATTAGTCCTTGTTAGAAATGAACAAAGTTTAAGTAAAGTGATAACCATAAGTGACTTTATTATCCAAACAGATAAAATGCTAATTGACCCCACAGGAAATTTTAAAGTTAGCCCTAGAGTAGCATATTTTAGATTCTTTAAAAAGTTTTATTTTTGCTCCAAGGGCTATGGAAAATATGCAAGATTGAAACATGCCAATACAGTGGTTGGATTCGATTCATGAAAATTGTAACCTACTAAGTGAATGTTATCAGATTAACGTGGCTTTGGTTAACAGACTCACAATTAAATGTATTAAAGTAGAAAGTAGTTATAAATAACCCACCTCAGAAGAGAGTTAAGGCGTTCCTGGGACTTGCTTTGCATTTGTACTTTGGTGTCCAATTTACCTTTATATTTATTTTGAATAACATCAGCATTACTTTGCGTTCCCCAAAGCATAGTGGCCTGACTGTGGAGTGGGGTGACTTGGAATGACCAGGCCTGCAGAGAGGAGCAGCAGGAGGACAAGGATGGAGATCCCGTGGGCAGCCCTCCGTTGGGGGCGTAGCCACGGGCTTTCAGATGCTCAGGGAAGAAGTAACTCAGATGAAAATCCACCAGAGGGAATCCAGGCTTTTTATTTTCTCAGAAGAAATCTGTCCGAGAGCGAGAACTCTCCTCCTGTTTGGTTTCTGAAGAAAATGGAAGTGATGAAAGCAGGGGTCTTGGTGTTCTGCTTGGTTTTCCCCTGTGTATGAACAAGTACGAACCGCAGCTGTGTGAAACCCCGGTGGACCTCTGGACTGCTCCTCAGCTGCCCGGCCGTGGCATCCAGGCCAACACATGCATCGCCGAAGGCCGATTAGCTAATTCCAGGGAACTTTAGTGTTTCACCCTGTGTTGATTCTTAAATGGTCCATTAAGATAGAAATATTGAGTTATTAATAGGGCGAGTTAGGGTGGCACATGTACTACTTAATTGTTTTACAGGGCTTAAATTAAGCCACTATTACATATTAGCTAAATATGAGTATAGGAGAAAGTGGCATTTATGATGGATACATTCTAGAACTTTCCTGAAGCCTCAGATTTGTGAACTCTTGTTTAACTTAATACCTTTCCTCATAAGATGAACCCCCTGAGGTCTCAATAAATTTACAACTGAAGCTATATTTAGCACTGGCTATCTCTGGGCCGCCATCATCCACAGTTGTGATGGTTGCTGAGTGTGGTTCCTCAGTTTACAGATGATGACTCTTGAAGACCACAGAGCCCTGAGGGATGGGCTGTGGGTGGCTGCGAACCTGCTCCGTGGGGCTCTTGACTTTGTGTCAGCCCATCTTCCCCTCAAACTCTGAGCAGGAGTTCTGCCTGCTGACCTTGGTGTTCTCCCTTGTGATATATTAATTATTGATTACATGGTAATTATTAATTATTGATTCAGCACTTTTGTCTTTTTAATATCTGGCCACAGGATTAATCTTTGACTCCTCATAACCTGAACTATAGCCACATCTTTCTTCTTGTCTCACAGGCCCTAGAAATGCAGGGCCCTGCTCACTCACTTCCCCACGTCGGGATTTGGGGTCCGTCTCCGTGTCGTGTCCCTCCAACTCTAGCCTGGTTCTCCCCCAGCCCCTGTCCACTCCACCTCAGCCAGCTCTTGCCGGTGGCCGCTGTTCCTGGTTCCAGTAGTGACGGCCCTGGGCAGGCCTCCATGTCTCATCGCTGCTGTGTCTTTTCTCCTCATGTCTGCTCGTCCATCCGTCCGTCTGTCTGTCCTCCTCAGGACTCTGTGTGATCCATCTAAAGCCTGCAGCGTGTAGCATCTCTCATCCAGGTCTTCCTCAGACCCCGTCTTCTGGGCACCATTGCCTAGAGGGTAAAGAAGCCAGAAGGGTCTGTGGCCTTCTGCTTCTGCCTAAATCTCCCCCTAGCTGTCCTCCACCCCACCCCACCTGACCAGATGGCCCCCCGGCTTCTACCCACGGGGCTTGCTTCTAACCCCGCGACCCCATCCCTTTCGGCTTCTGGGCTTTCTTCAGGCAGGTTTTGTTGGTATCGCTGTGTTTTGTTCGTCGTCTCATGCCCTTTCGCCTGATGGGACAGAGAAGCTGAGGCAAAGGCATCTGAGACTTTTGTGTGGGGGGAGGAGAGGCACGAGGCCAGTGTTCCAGAAGGATCTGTGAGCTCGTTTGTTGAGCACACACCTGATGAGGTCAGAGTGGTAGCTGCAAAACTTGTTTTCAAATTCAAGGTTCCCTACCTAGCGCTCCTGTTATTGGGGTGAGGTGCTTAATTCCTCTCAGCCTGTTTCCTCAGCTGTTAAGCCGGGTTAATAGTCACCACTTCCTGTTGTTTTGTCAGCAGTAAATGAAATAGAGCTAATAAATGACACTTGACTGAGTGTTTACCGTGTGCTGGGCTCTGTTACAGAGCAGGCAATCACTAACTTACTCCTTACCTCACCCCGTGGGGTGGGTACTGCTCCTAACCCCGTGGTGCAGTTGGAGGAACTGAGAGGCAGAAGACTTGTCCTGGGCCCCGAGCCCGTGGAGCAGGGCTGGGGTCAGCCGTTGCTCAGCAGGTGCCCACTCCGCTCATGGCCTCTGTGGGCTGACGGTCTTCCTGTCTGGGCCCCATGGCCCTCGTTTGTTTAACTGGTGTCGCGGGGGTCTGTTCTGGGAACGAACGAGACTGTGAGTTACATGACTGGCAGTGCGCTGCCTTATGGTCCGCCTCGGCCGTGTTGCCCTGTCGTTAAGAAGTGACAGATTGGAAAGTGCAGAGAAAAGGAGTCAGTGTTGTTAGAGCATATTGGGTTACGGATGCGAGAAGCTAGCTCCAGCGAGCTGAAGCACAGTTGTTGTAGGCGTGTGGGGCTGCTCTGCAGGGCTCCCGGCAGGAGTGAAGCCAGGCCTCAGAAAGGGTGGAAGCTGCGTCATGCACGCTGCCCAGAGCCCAGCCGCACCCCAGGTTCCAGCTCTGTCCCGTCCCCGCTTCCCTCCCGCATTTCTGAGTGTGCTGGGTTACATCCCTTGTCATATATTAGCCAGAGTTCTCCAGAGAAACAGAACCCGTAGGATGTGCATTTACATACACATATACATACACATATACATATACATACGCATACACATACACATATACATATACATATGGGGGAGATAATCTAAGGAACTGGCCCACATGATTGTGGAGATGCAAGTCTAAAATCCGTAAGGTGGGCCAGCTGGGAAGAGCTGCCATTGGAGTCTGAAGGCAGAATTTCCTCTTCCTCTGGGGACATCAGTCTCTTTTTCTTAAGGCCTTCAACTGATTGGGTGAGGCCTGCCGACATTACAGAGGCTTTACTCAGAATCTACTGATTTAAATATTAGTCTCATCTAAAAAATACCTTCACAGCATCATCTGGAATCATATTTGACCAAATGTCGGGGTCCCATGTCCTGGTCAAGTTGACACGTAAAATTACCCATCAGAATCTCTACCTGCACATCTCTTTTTGGCATTTTCTGGCATTCTCTCTGGCGTTCTCTGCCGTCTTTGCTTCTGTCTCTGCATCTGCCTCTGTGAAGACAGGCCTTCTCTGGCTCTCAGGCCAGTCGAGGGCAGAGGAGGGGCACCTGGAGATTCACAGGTCTGTGATTCATCAGCAGCCGCACAGTGAGCCTGTCTGCCGTGGCTTTGGCCACCCTGTAGCCCTCTTGGTGGCCTTAGTGGGCCAGGGCTGATATCATTGTCGAGTGCTGTTCTGTTCCTGTCTCTCTTCTAGAACTTCAGGGTAGGGGGAGTCCTGATTGGCCTAGTTAGGGCTTCATGTCCACCTGTGATCCAGCCAGCTGAGGCCGAGGCAAGGGGTCATGCTATGCAACCATGGCTGAGTGTGGCCCACCCGCCCCCATGGTATGTGAGCTGAGCAGATGCTCCAAAAGGTGTCTCCTGTGCAAGCAGATGGAAATACATTTGGACTGTAATTACTGAATTGCCTCTGAAATATCAATAAATATTAATAAATATAATACATATCGTTCCTTACAGAAATTTATACTTATCTCAATTATGCTCCTCTGCCCTCAAATAACATTTTTAAATGTTGTGAGTTTTGGAATCTGGTCTCTAAGATGCACATTTGGCCACAACCCCATGCTGCTGCTAAAGTTTCTCTTTTGCTTTTGTCTTTTACTCTCCAGAGGATGATGTGGACCTGGAAGCCCTGGTGAGCGACATGAATGCGTCCTTGGAGAGTGTGTACCCGGCCTGTAGCATGCAGTCAGAGACGGTGCCCCTCCTTCAGAACGGCCAGCACACCCGCAGCCAGCCACCCTCAGGAATAAGGTCCCTCCAGCCACAGGTGTCCCTGCGGCAGAAGGTGCAGCGCTCCCAGCCCGTGCACATCCTCGCTGTCAGGTGGGACCCACGGCCTCGTTGGCTGAGCCTCTAAGAGCCGGCGAGTGCTGTTGCAGGGACTCGCGCTGCCCTGTGCTCGGCAGAGCTGTTCGTCTCTTGGTCTAGCGTGGCAGCACGGGCACCTGGTGCCTGGCTCAGTTGAGATAACTTTTGTTGAGCACCTGTTCTGTGCCTGGTGACATGCCAGGTAGAGGGCTGCGCAGGAAAACCGTCAGGGGAGAATACTCTGGAAAGAAGGAAAGAATGGCTGGGCAGCCAGTTGAGGACTCCAAAGCCTTGCTGCCCAGAGTGGAGTCCAGGGATCAGGAGCAGTGGTGTCCCCCAGGGCCTGTCAGAAATGTGCAGCCTCAGACACTTGACCACATTCCCCAAGGGATTAAGCAGAGGAGGCACAGCCTCTGTGGAAATACTGGGGCTGGAGGGAGGGACTTCTGGGGAGTGGAGGACTGTTCCTTGCAGGTGGCAGATCTCTGAATTGGCTGTTGAGGGGTGAGTAGGAGCTGAGGGATGGGGGAAGGGATTTTGTGGGCAGGAAAGATGATCCCTGTTGTCGCAAGTGGCAGAGGTTCCTTCCTTTTTAGGTGAGTAATATTCCACTGTGTGTATATACCACATTTTCTTTACCCATTCCTCGTCGATGGACAACGTGGATAGTATGCTAAATAAATAAGCCGGTCACAGGAGGGCAAATGCTACGTGATCCCACGTATATGAGGAATCTAAAATGGTCCAACTCATAGAAGTAGAGAGTGGAATGGTGGTTGCCAGGGGCTGGGAGAGGGTCACGGGCAGATATTAGCCGAAGTGTACAAAGTTTCAGTTACACGAGGTGAGTGAGTCCCGGGGATCTGCTGTACAGCACAGAGCCCCCACTTAACAGTTGTGTATTGTATACTTAAATGTGTGCTAAGAGGGTAGATCTTATGTTAAGTACTCTTATCATCATCATCATTACCATCATAATATTAATAAATAAAGAAGGTGGGAGTTCATTTTTGCGGGGGTGGATATGTTTATGGCAAGACTGTGGTGATGAGTCTTGGTGTATACTTATCTCTAAACTCATCCAGTTGTATACATTAAATATGTACAGATTTTTGTGTGTCAATCATACCTCCACAGATTGATTTAAAAAAAGCGATGATCCCAGCAGGTGGGGGCCAGATCCAGAAGGTCTTTGTGAGCCGTTCTGAGGGGAGAGACAGGAAAGGGGTTTGAACAGCTGCAGTGAGGAGATTGGATTTGGGTTTTGGCAAGTAATTCTGGCAGCCTGGGGTCAGAGGGCAGTAGGATAGAGCATGGCTGACTTGGAAGCTGTTTCAGGGACCAGTCTGGAGACAGTGATGTCCACACCTGGGATCAAGGAGAGGGGGGGACTGGATTTGTCAGCACTGAATTTTGGAGGGAAACAAGGGGACATAGTGTTCAGGGTGCTTCGACTCTGTCTCGAGTGCCTGGGAGGTGGGTGGCCAGAGAAGTCAGCAGAGCAGCTGTTGTGAAGGGAGGTGGGGTGTTAAGGGCATTGTAGACCTTCTGAGTGGAGATCTTTGTGAAATCAAGCTGAGAAACAGGGCAGCTGCCGAGAAACTCCATGGCCCCCGCCCAGGTCTGTGTTGCCGCTGGCGAATTTTCAGGTGAGGATGGAGGGATGAGGATGGGTAAGGGATTGAGGCCTCCCTGCTTCCCTGGGCTTCCTGGCGGGAGGGTTTGTGGTACACTGTGTCTTGGGGTCTCAGTCAGGCTGAGGTTCTGGTGGCTGCGCCTTCCTCAGCACTGCATCTTCCAGAGATCTTGTTTCTTTTCATGGCGTAGGGGTGGGGGTCCTTTCTGCTTCTGGCAGCTTCTATGAGGCTCTCTCTGATATGACGTCCTGGGTTTTCTGTAGTGAGGTAACCCTCTTGTTCTGTCTCTGGGAGTAACTGCAGAGCTCTCTGCAGGTGGAGGGCAGAGGCTCCGGTGGCCTGCAGTTGGCTGCCTCTCAGGCTTCCTTCCTTTGATCCCATCCATCCTCCCAGTGTTTGTCCCCGTGTTCTTAGCTCCTGATGAGTTCAGTCTGGAGGGAGACACTCTTCTTCCCTGGGTGCAAGGTCTGTCGGTCGCCTGTCCATGGTCACCTTGGGGAAGCCCCTTGGAAGACAGGGTTGCAGCCCACACAGGGACAGTGCCCGAAGCTGGGCCCAGGCGGAGGATGATGTTACAGAAAGCCTCACTCCTTGCCAATTAGTTGCCCAGGACCCTTGAGCAATAGAGTTCTGACCAAACTTGGCGCTACACTCTGGTGGCTGCCGGTACTAAGTCCCATGGGACGGATGGGGCAGGTCTGCTCCCTAGGGCAGCAGGCGCTCTGCCTGCCAGAAAGCAGACACTGTTTCTCAGGCCCAGCCTCTTCTCACTGATGTTCTTTCACAGGAGTAGTATTGTTTCTTACCTTCAGATGCGTTTAAAAAAAAATGGGCGACCAATGTGGGACGCCAAAGATTTATTATGTAAGTGAGGCCAACTGCTGAGCACTTCCTGTGTGCGCTGAGCACTTCCTGTGTGTAAGGCTCTGTTGAGTACTCATTTATTAGCTGGGGTAGTGGTCACTACAGCCCTACAAGGTGGGTGGTGTGGTGGCCCTCAATGCCCAGGTGAGGAAACCGAGGCACTAGGGGAAGTGACTTGGCCCACACTTGGTGAGTGGGGAGCCGGGATGCAAACCCAGGCTGAGGGGCCCTGAGGGGCTCCAAACGCTTGGAGGATTGGGCTGGGTACAACGAGACCCATGGATGAGGATTTGCACCGCAGCAGACTCCGCAGAGATTGTCACACGCTCTGAAGAGAGCTCAGAGGGAGGCAGGTGCAGAGCAGAAGTGGGGAAGGTAGAGAAGCTTCTCGGACAAGGCCACAATTGATCCCTCAGATCCTGAAGGAGAAGGAGTGGACTGCGGTGAAGCAGAGGGGCAGTGAGTATGTTCTGACCTGGACGGATGGAGGAGCACGGCCCTGCCCTTCTTGTCCCCATCTCTGACCCCCAACATCCCTCCATCTTAGCTCCCTTCTCCACGATCAGAGGGTTGATCTGGCTGTCAGCCTCTTGAAAAGGGATTTTTTTCAGCTTTGTATAATGTCACTTAGTTTTGCTTTAGGCAATATTTGTGAACTGCCATAAAGTCAACATGGGACTTTTTTTTAATTTTTAAAAACAATTTATTTATTTGAAATTCATGTAACATAAAGTTAACCACTTACATTTAAATATTCAGGGGCATTTCGTATACTCCCAGTGTTGTGCAACCCTGCTCTGATTTCAGAACATCACTCCAAAGGAAACTCCCCACCCATGAAGCAGTGTCTCCTCTCACCCCCCACAGCCACTGGCAGCCACCAGTCTGCATCATGTAGCTGTGGGTTTACCTGTTCCGGACGTTTCATACAAGTGAAATCATACATTATGTGGCCTTATGTGTCTGGCCTCTTTCACTTAGCATAATTTTTTTAATAGAGATTTTATTTTTAAGAGCAGTTTTAGGTTCATAGCAAAACTAAGAGGAAGACGCAGAGATTTCCTGTATCCCCTGCCCTCCCAACACATGCATAGCCTCCCCCTACTATCAACATCCCCCACCATGGTGGCACATTTGTTACAACCGATGAACCTGTATTAGGACATCCTAATCACCCAAAATCCATAATGTACATTGTGGTTCACTCTTGGTGTACATTCTGTGGGTTTGGACAAATGTATAATGACACGAATCCATCATTATAATATTATACAGAGTATTTTCACTGCCATAAAAAACACAGGACTTTAAATGCTCAAAACAACCTACTAAAGAGAGAAGCTTTTATGAACAACTAGAACGTCAGAACATCAGCATCTTGTAGTCTAAGTCAAAACAAGATAAAACTCTTGTTCTTGGGGTTGGTCACTCATTAGAAGTCATGGGCTGGGGCCGGCCCTGTGGCTTGGTGGTTAAGTGCGCACGCTGCAATGCTGGTGGCCCGGGTTCGGATCCGGGGTGCGCATCGAGGCACCACTTCTCCGTCCATCATGAGGCCGAGTCCCACATACAGCAACTAGAAGGATGTGCAGCTATGACATACAACTATCTACTGGGGCTTTGGGGGGAAAAAATAAAATAAATAAAATCT